CCTCCCCCCTTAACTATATGTCCTCCCCCCTCCCCCCTAAATGTAAACATAAATTTACAGTATATGCTCATGGAAATTACTGTATTTGTTCATATTAACTTATATTAGACCCCGAAATCCACTTCAAATAAAGGCTTGAAAGTATGACATGGCAACATATATATATCCTTTAAAATAACAGTTGATGCTTCATGTAAATGCACCAATTATAATTTACTAAAACATAGTTTATATTCTTTTCTTTTAGGAAGACTGCAAAGACAATTTGGATAACAACATTATGATGCCTGGAAGCGGTTTGAAGCTCACTGTTTTGCTGGTCACCCTTTTTGCTAATATTTTTGATGTCATCAGTGATTGGTTGTTCTATACAGAACAGCTGTTAGTCAAAGATGGCTTGGTATTTGGACCATTTGACCATGAGCTTGTCAAGGCAACTTATGTAATATGTATAATAGCCTCAGTAACCTTTCTGATGGAATTCGTTTTTGACTTTGTAAAATTCTTCACGGACAGTGACACAGTGGAGCTAGTGGGTGAGATTGTCACTGTTATAACACTATTGATGGAAGATCTACCACAGACAGGAATCAACCTGCACATTGCCTTGTGCAGGGATTTAGAGGCGACCAATGCATACCAGATCGTGAAAGCTTCGACAGCCATTTTTGAAGTTTTGGTGAAGTTGATTTTCATTTGCATTCCATTCTGCAGAAACAAATGTAAAACCCAAAAACGGAAATGCAAGCTGAGGAAACCATTGAAAATTGTTACCATAACACTTTTAATCGTATATTTTGTATTATCCACTGTGGTGCTTAGCGCAACAACCTTTCACAAGTCTGACATTAAGTTTTACAGTGAAGGTCTAGACAGGGAGGACACAGAACATTACCTACAAGATGTTGGAGTCTTTATGAGGCTCCAAACCACACACCCTACGTTACCAAAAATGGCGGAAAACCAGTGGATGATGTTGACACATCTAACAAACATAACTGATCTGTCAGTTCCAACAGATGGCTTGTTTCTGAGTGTCATTTTTACTACAGTACCACTCCAGTATATTTGGGCGAGGAAACATTTTCCTGGACGACCGAAATCCTTATCCTGTTACGAATGGAATTCTACATCCTCAATTCTTCTTCCACAAGATAAATGTTCAGATATTATATCCAGTACTACTAATACTACGACAGTGTCCATGCGCTTTACGTACGTGCCTCCCAGCACTAATCAGCCCATGGGAGATATCCACTATAACTCAGAGATCAGTAAGAAATTTGACCACATTCTAACAAACAAAACGGTGACATTGAAGTATTTCAAGGTCAAATCTAAAGTAAAAGGCAACCTTGCTCTGACAACTGGGGACAGCGGAGGCCAGTATCGGTTCTACAATGATCAGACTGACCTGCAGTCAGTACGTGAAGTGTGGAAGAAAAACTGTGCAAATACCGGACGAGAATCACCTAAACTGGACACGAACATGTTAGCTAGATGTGTGTTTTAATATTAGTTACGTTTAATGGAGACTTATATTAAAATAATTACAATAAATACGTTGATTACATATGTCAAAGACATGGTTATATGTAATTTAGTCAAACTCTAGTTGTAGCTATGCTACAATGTATATTTATACAACATTTTTTCAATATCAATATTCTTAAAAAGTTGTATTTAAATTATTTAAAATAAATGAAATGAATTTTAACAAAAAAAACACTATTTGTTCTTTATTATCGCACAGATATTAAAATCATTCACCAAAGAACGTATCAAAAATTCTCATTTTCTCCTGGTTCAATTGTTCACAAACACATAATCAAAATGGACTGGACTTTGTATCTTCAAGGTTTTTATTCAATTATAGAAATACCCTTTAAAAAGATCACATTTTGGTTCCACCATGGTAAAGTTACACTGGACTGATCTCATACCCTGGTTCCACCATGGTAAAGTTACACTGGACTGATCTCATACCCTGGTTCCACCATGGTAAAGTTACACTGGACTGATCTCATACCCTGGTTCCACCATGGTAAAGTTACACTGGACTGATCTCATACCCTGGTTCTACCTAGGTATAGTTACACTGGACTGATCCCATACCCTGGTTCTACCTAGGTATAGATACACAGGACTGATCTCACAACCTGGTTCCACCTAGGTATAGTGACACTGGACTGATCTCGTACCCTGGTTCTACCTAGGTATAGTTACACTGGACTGATCCCATACCCTGGTTCTACCTAGGTATAGTTACACTGAACTGATCTCATACCCAGGTTATACCTAGGTATAGTTATACTGGATTGATCTCATACCCTGGTTCTACCTAGGTATAGTTACATTGGACTGATCCCATACCCTGGTTCTACCTAGGAATAGTTACACTGGACTGATCTCATACCATGGTTCCACCATGGTAAAGTTACACTGGAATGATCTCGTACCCTGGTTCTACCTAGGTATAGTTACACTGGAATGATCTCATCCCCTAGTTCTACCTAGGTATAGTTACACTGGACTGATCCCATACCCTGGTTCTACCTAGGTATAGATACACAGGACTGATCTCACAACCTGGTTCCACCTAGGTATAGTGACACTGGACTGATCTCGTCCCCTGGTTCTACCTAGGTATAGTTACACTGGAATGATCTCATCCCCTAGTTCTACCTAGGTATAGTTACACTGGACTGATCCAATACCCTGGTTCTACCTAGGTATAGATACACAGGACTGATCCCACAACCTGGTTCCACCTAGGTATAGTGACACTGGACCGATCTCGTACCCTGGTTCTACCTAGGTATAGTTATACTGGACTGATCTTATACCCTGGTTCTACCTAGGTATAGCTACACTGGACTGATATCGTACCCTGGTTCTATCCAGGTATAGTTACACTGGACTGATCTCATACCCTAGTTCTACCTAGGTATAGTTACACTGGACTGATATCATACCCTGGTTCCACCATGGTAAAGTTACACTGGACTGATCTCATTCCCTGGTTCTACCTAGGAATAGTTACACTGAACTGATCTCATACCCTGGTTCTACCTAGGTATAGGTACACAGGACTGATCTCATACCCTGGTTCTACCTAGGTATAGGTACACTGGACTGATCCCATACCCTGGTTCTACCTAGGTATAGTTACACTGAACTGATCTCATACCAAGGTTCTACCTAGGTATAGTTATACTGGATTGATCTCATACCCTGGTTCTACCTAGGTATAGCGTACCCTGGTTCTACCTAGGTATAGTTATACTGGACTGATATCATACCCTGGTTCTACCTAGGTATAGTTACACTGAACTGATCGTTCCACCATGGTAAAGTTACACTGGAATGATCTCATACCCTGGTTCTACCTAGGTATAGTTACACTGAACTGATCTCATACCCAGGTTATACCTAGGTATAGTTATACTGGATTGATCTCATACCCTGGTTCTACCTAGGTATAGTTATACTGGACTGATCTTATACCCTGGTTCTACCTAGGTATAGTTACACTGAACTGATCTCATACCCTGGTTCTACCTAGGTATAGTTACTCTGGACTGATCTCATACCCTGGTTCTACCTAGGTATAGTTACACTGGAATGATCTCATACCCTAGTTCTACCTAGGTATAGTTACACTGGACTGATCTCATACCCTGGTTCTCCCTAGGTATAGTTACTATAGACTGATCTCGTACCCTGGTTCTACCCAGGTATAGTTACACTGGACTGATCTCATACCCAGGTTCTACCTAGGTATAGTTATACTGGATTGATCTCATACCCTGGTTCTACCTAGGAATAGTTACACTGGACTGATCTCATACCCTAGTTCTACCTAAGTATAGTTACACTGGACTGATCTCATTCCCTGGTTCTACCTAGGTATAGTTATACTGGATTGATCTCATACCCTGGTTCTACCTAGGAATAGTTACACTGGACTGATCTCATAACCTGGTTCTCCCTAGGTATAGTTACACTGGAATGATCTCATCCCCTAGTTCTACCTAGGTATAGTTACACGGTATAGTTACACTGGACTGATCTCATACCCTAGTTCTACCTAAGTATAGTTACACTGAACTGCTCTCATACCCTGGTTCTACCTAAGTATAGTTACACTGAACTGATCTCGTACCCTGGTACTACCTAGGTATAGTTACACTGAACTGATCTCATACCCTGGTTCTACCTAGGTATAGTTACACTGAACTGATCTCATACCCAGGTTCTACCTAGGTATAGTTATACTGGATTGATCTCATACCCTGGTTCTACCTAGGTATACTTATACTGGATTGATCTCATACCCTGGTTCTACCTAGGTATAGTTACACTGAACTGATCTCATATCCTGGTACTACCTAGGTATAGTTACACTGGACTGATCTCGTACCCTGGTTCTACCTAGGTATAGTTATACTGGACTGATCTCATACCCTGGTTCTACCTAGGTATAGTTACACTGAACTGATCTCATACCCTGGTTCTACCTAGGTATAGCTACACTGGACTGATTTTGTATCCTGGTGTTACCTAAAGTAAGCCTGTTATAAAACAAATTTTGAACAATCACAGAATAGCAATTCTGTCACAATACTCACATATTAAGCCATACTTATTTCTGTTTCCCTAGGCTTCACTTTTCATTTCTTTTAATGTGCTTCATATTGTCAGTGTACATGCACACTACTGACTTTATGAATTTGGGATTCCTGTCACTGCAGGTGAAATACCTGAGAATTCCACTGTGCTTTTTCATACATACACTACAGTAATCTCCCCTTGAATTTGTTTCAGATATAACTCAGTGAGTCTGGGACAGGGAAGTATGACTGTTAAGGTAGAACACTTCGTTAGAGCATCTCGATGTGATGGGAGGTCCCGAGCCGGAATCCCAGCCTGGCCACACTGCAGTACTCTCCAACACTGTTATTGATAGCTGTTTTGTTTGATTCATCATTACTGTTTTTCATAAACATTCCACATGGTATCTGTTGTCTTTCGGCAACGTTTTCTCGGTGGTACTGAGATCCTTAAGGGAGATAACTCACAAATGTTGAGTATGATGTGTAAGTTACAACCATGAAGATACTGTGTAAATTCAATAAAAGGAACTGTAGTCTGCCATATCCATCATGATATCTGAATGATTATAATTATCACTGTGTAAATAATCGGACAAATGTATTTACAGAACGGTCAAACATAAACAAGCCATGCGGATTGATATGTTTCGCCTGATTTTGTATGTTGATGGAGATGCTGACAAAGTCAATGGACCATGAAAGGTAGGCCACATACAGCATCTGATGCATGGGTTGAGATGTACTACCTAAGATGCATCTATGGTCCAAGTTTGGTTGGTTTAGCACTTATACTTTTAGAGTAACTAACTTAAACGCAAAAACTTCATGTTGACGCCGCCGGCGGAAAAGCAACACCTTCATGGCGGCGAGACAAAAAATTATTGTTTATGATATTCTAGCAAAACAGTGATAAAATTGATATAATTTAAAATTGAAAGAAAATCCCCCAAAAAATTACAAACATTAAGAAAGTATGAAAATGAAACAATGAAAAAATGGATATTTTTATTAGCAGCAGATTTTGACTTGTAGCTTCATGATGTAACAATGACGTCAGTTTATCTGACTTGTTAGAGTACACATTCCATGTCGTCTGTCCTGTAGTCAACAGACCTTAAGTCAGTTACAGAGAACAGAGTCAATACACAACCTCTTTGCACATAAACGACAACGTCATACAGGTGGACGTGTGACAGCTGATCACCAAACAGCCACACGATCTATTGTCAACACAAATCAGAAACCTCATTTGAAACCACACTGAAAATACAATTGGCACATCCTTAACATCCTGATAACCAAGTCCAACATGAATATTTAGGGGTGTACACTTAAAACTGACCATTGTGAATTAGCCCCCACAACAAGACTGGAGAGCTGTTCCAGCAGTGTTGATAAGTACACCTTGGAGATACAGGCATGTCCAATAACACAGCTGAGGCTCGGTTCTACCAGATAAAAGGATTATTTCTGCTGTCCTTGTTATCTCTGTTGTAGTATAGGCACAACACAGCAATGGTAATTTATAGATCAATTATACTATATATATAATATATGAACATTTTTATCACTTTAACACGACCTTCTTTGTGAAAGAGGGCTGCCAGAAAAATAAAGGACGTTCTATGTTCTAACAGGTATGGATTAGTATTTACTTCTAACAGGTATGGATTGGTATTTACTTCTAACAGGTATGTATTAGTATTTACTGACTGAACAATCAGATTTTGAGTTTCTAAGCAAACTATAACACAACTAGGAAACTGCAATATGTCTTTTTGTTATCAACTGGGAATTTTTCACAATGAAAATTGAAAAATACCCCACTCAGAGTAAACATTCAAGTTTGAGTTCAAATACACCACTCAAAGTAAACATTCAAGTTTACACTCAAATACCCCACCCAAAGTTACCATTTAAGTTTAGACTCAAATATCCCACTCAAAGTAAACATTCAAGTTTACATTCAAATACCCTACTCAAAGTAAACATTCAAGTTTAGACTAAAATACCCCACTCAAAGTAAACATTCAAGTTTAGACTGAAATACCCCACTCAAAGTAAACATTCAAGTTTATACTTAAATACCCTACTCAAAGTAAACATTCAAGTTTAGACTGAAATACAACACTCAAAGAAAACATTCGAGTTTGGGTTCAAATACCCCACTCAAAGTAAACATTCAAGTTTACTCTTAAAATACCCCACTCAAAGTAAACATTCAAGTTTAGACACAAATATCCAACTCAAAGTAAACATACTTTTATGTTGGAGTCAAACATTGGAGTCAAATATTAAACACAGTGTAAACATATAAGATTGGGGTGAAATGCTCCACTAAAAGTAAACCAACAAGGTTTGAGTCAATGACTAAAACTAATGGCACATACAAGGTTTGAGTCAACGACTAAAATTAATGGCACATACAAGGATTGAGTCAATGACTAAAATTAATGGCACATACAAGGTTTGAGTAAATGACTAAAATTAATGGCACGATCCAAAACTTTTGAGTCGGACGCTCTACCACTGAGTGAAAGGGGAATTTTCTCTAGCGTGAAACTAGAAAGCAACCATAATCGTGTGTACAATTAAAATCTGACACACAGGAAAGTCTTGGTACTCAATCAGACTGACAAACTCTCTTAGTCTGACAAGCCCACTCAACAGCAGATTACAGGGTAGAAACAAGCTTATCACGCAGAAGTTGCGACCTTCGTCATGACCTTTCAAGTCAGGATACACAGTGACCAGGGCAAGATAGTGTTGCCAATATCAACAACGATTGGACGGAGTAATCTATATAATAAACCAAGGATGAAAACAAGCAACAACCTTGGAAAACTTACATGACCTGGTGTTAGACTGTTTGACAGGTAAGTGATGTTGGGCTTTTTATCTTTTTATCTCAAATGGTTCAAGGAGCATATGTTCAATGTTTTTTAACTTCTGATTCAGATATGGTCAGTATAGTCTGCACTTGAAAAATTTCTCTGCCCTAGACTTTAGCCATTTATAATATAATGTAACTGACCTAATACTTATATTTAATAAAACCATTAAAAGTAAGTTTTTCCTATTTTGTCTCTCATTTGAGCATGACTTACATTAATTGTATCTCACAGGACCCCATCCAGTCCAATGTTTATATCTAACACGACTTTGACCAGTCAAATGTTTCCATGTTATGAGAGAAATACTTATCTAATGTTTATCACAGGATAAAGGATAGTCCAATGTTTATATTTAACTTAACCTAAACTATTCCGAAGATTGTCCACTGTTCATTGTTTAATTGACCAAAATCAGCTAAAAATATCTTATGACATATTGAGGTACATACTTTTCAATTTATTTCAAATTCTACATGTAACAAATTTTCTTTTGGATTATATTTTACATTTTGCAAATTAAATATCATTATAAAAACCATATCAAAACAGATAACCTGTTGACTTAGATAAGGTTAAATAATAATGATAAGAGGCCTAGAGGGCCTGTATCGCTCACCTGGATATCTAAGCAATCATGGCAAAATATTCTCCAAATAAGGTCCAAGGGAATGGGCCAGACCCCAAGGCCAATTCTTGTATCCTATCTGTATTAGATTTTTCATGCCCAGCAATTTTATGTATGGTTATGGGGTGGGGATCTCAACTGTTTCCAAGATGTGACTCAGAAACTAGGTCCCTAGGGTCATGGCCAGACCCAAGGGTCGATTATAATGTTATGACTGCATTCGTCTCTTTATGCCCAGCATTTGTATATATAGTTTTGGGGTGGGGATCTCAACCGTTTCAAAGTTATGACCCAGGGGTTAAGTTTTCAAGGGTGGGGCAGACCCCAGGGTCAATTCTTATATCATGACTGCATTCTTCTCTTTATGCCAAACAATTGTATATATAATTTTTGGGAGGGGATCTTAACCGTATTTAAGTAATGACCCAGGGGTTAAGTCTTCACGGGTGGGCCAGACCCCGAGGCTATCATTGAAGCATATGTGCATTCTTCTCTTTATATTCAGCAATTGTAAGTGGTTATAGGGTGGGGATCTCAAACATTTCCAAGTAATAAACTATTTTTTGCCCCACCCCTAAGCCCAAGGGGATCAGCCCCACCATTTGTACAATTTTGAATCCCTTCCTCCCATGAATGCTTCCAACCAAATATGATTGATATCCATTGCACAGTTCTACAGAAGAAGTCGTTTGTAGCAATATAGCCAAATTGTCCCCTTTTTGCCCCGCCCCTCAGCCCCCTGGGGGTCATCCCTACCATTACCGGTAGTACAATTTTGAATCCCCACCACCTAGGGATGCTTCCAGTCAAATTTAGTTAAATTCCAATCAAAAAATTGTTGACGTACGGACAACGGATGCCACGGTATGGCATAAGCTCAAGTTGAGCTAATAATTCTTCATTTTTATAGGGTGCAACTCATTTACCAAACAATAAAGGCTTATCTTCCATGAGGCCCTCTTTAAAGAGGTACACAAACACAAACCCGTTACAGGATAATGATCACATACAGAGAAAAAAAGGTACTTTTACTTCAATGATGTTTTCTGGGTGTGTGACATAAACATGATCGACGATAGAGGACGTATTTTGTTACCCTTGTTGGTACAGTGATGAGTCGTTTTAAACTGTATACATTCATAACGCTGATCCATTTTTTTCTTCGTACAACTTGGGTTAAAGTTTATATTGATATCACCTAGCATAGTATATTCCATACCACAACAAGGAACACAACCTGTACAATCCTGATAAATAAGAGATACCTTATCTACATATATAAAGGTTTTTTTCTTCAAAAATAAATAACGATTGAGTTGAACTTTCACCTGATTTCCAAACTTTGGACTAGATTTCTGGCCTGCTGTACATTTTATCACCAGAGATTATATAGTGGCGACATGGCTGCACAATATTAGCTCTCGAGGACACGCCTATACAACCTATAGGTATAAACAACATAGAACACGGTAACAACCATTCAGCCTAGAAAACTTAGACATTTCAAAATGGTATGTATGATAACTTTGTTTTTGCATTATCTATACAATAGGATATTTTATATAACTAAATATGAAATTTACTTTTACTTTTAATTAAGATATTTTTACTTATGTGGTAAGGTAAGTTATCATGTTTCAGTGTTAAAATATATAGTAATCATGTTTCAGTGTTAAAATATTTAGTAATCATGTTTCAGTGTTATAATATTTAGTAATCATGTTTCAGTGTTATAATATTTAGTAATCATTTTTCAGTGTTATAATATTTAGTAATCATGTTTCATTTCGAAGTGATCATGTTTCAATATTTAGAAATGATGTTGTAATATTTAGAAATGATGTTATAATATTTAAAAAATCATCTTTCAATTTTTCAGTAATCCATTTGGTATATTGGGAAAGCATTCACATTGATAAATTGGAAAATTTGTGCCTAGCCCCTTGTTCATTATTTCGGCAATAAAATGTTTAAACTTAAATATTTCCATAACTTTGGAAAGTCTCCTTAGGGAAACACGCCTTTAAAAGTTTTACAGAAATTTATTCATTGATAATTTTCGGGCTCCTTCCCTTCATCAGTCATGCCGCAGAAAAACTGTACAGATTCTATGTGATATTCACCACATTCAATCTGCACAGTTTTTCCTCAACACGACTGATGAAGGGCAGTAGCCTGAAATTCTTAACGAGTGACTTTCTATGAAATATATAAAAAAAAAAATGTATATTGACCATTATTTCATACCTTGTTGAAGGTCCAGTTTGTACAGGTATCCAGATTACACAGGTTCAATTAACATAGAATTGTATACAATGGGACCTGGTTTTTTGTCTGGTTTAAACAGGTGTCCAGATTACACAGGTTCACATTTACATAGTAATGTACACAGAAATACTTTAGTTGGAGGTCTAGTTGTTTCAGATGGTCAGATTACACAGGTTTATTATCAGGCCCTGCCATAACATAAATATCATACGACATATCTGGTATATAATTGGGGTATTTTTTATCTTCCACATCCAGGACAGTGATTACCCTGCAGTCAAAATGAAGAACAAAGTTGAGGATATTGAACTAGACAGTACTGGACCAGATCATCAGGGAGGTATCGCATCAGCACCAAGTCAACAAGGCAACAATTCCGGTAATATATCACCTGTCGATGGGGACAACACCAGAAGTGACGACGAGGTCACTACCCTGAACAAGTCTAGTAAGGACAACAAGGCAATTGAGCGGGGGAAATCTCCCGGGAGTTGGTCGAACAAGGCATTAAAGACCTCAGAGAAACGAAAGGCAGCACATGATGCCGATATTATTGAGGAGCTCACTAAAATAGGGCACTGTGCAAAACTGAGACATAATTTCTGCTTCAAAACGTTTGTATTTGCTGTTGTTATGGCCCTGAATGGAGTGGACATGATAGCGGATTGGTTACTGTTCCGAGATGTGTTTGAGACACAGGAAGGTCTGGTGTACGGGCCTCCTGATAAGGCCATTACCTATTCCTTACTGGCTTTCTCCATCCTTGGAACACTGACATTTCTGTTTGAGGTAGTTAATTTATGGTGGGAGATTTACCGTGAGAATCCCTGGATAAATGCCGACCTCGCATCTGCAGTGACCATCTGGATTGAAGACATTCCACAGATTATAATCAACCTCTTCATTGCATTGTGTCGTGAGGAGGCCATCAGTTATTTCCAGTTGGTGAAGGCATCTGTTATTATTGTAAGTGTCATCATCAGGATCGTCGTCTCTCTCATTCGTTACTGTAATAAGAAAAACCTTGCCGAGCTACACGACCACACCAAGACGTCTTGTCGTCATGTGACATATCGCTTCTTAATAATGATTGGGCTGATGGGTATATTTGCCTGCTCTATAGCTGTTTTCTTCCTTACACAGTTTGAGAGAACTATAGACGGGAAAATAAAATTCAATCTGCCAAAGACTGCATTTGAAGGGCAGTACGATGAGGAGCGTTACTTCCAGAATGTCAGTATGTACCTACATCACCCTCTTATTGACTTTGATAATGGTAGCCATGACAACAATGATGTTAACTGGATCCGACTCATCAGTCTGTATGATGTGAGAGAGAAAAACACAGAGGTGTTCAAGCTTGTATATGACCAGACTAAAACAAAAATAGTGATATGGCAGACAGACTCCTCTGGAACACTAACCATCAGTGACTGCTACACACTTGACAGAGCGGCAAAGACAGTAACACAGGCCACTTCCTGTGCATCACACATTACTGGACCAAAATCAGCTTTCATTTTCAAATTTGAATTTGTCAAAAAGAAAATTCCTAATTTGATATTTGGAGATGTAAGATTCAACCTCATTGTTAACGAAAATGGTAACTGTCATGGTCCTTCTACTTCCTTAGTAACAAAACTGAGTGATCGTAGAGACAAATCAACCAATCAAATACACCCTGTCATACACTATTACCGGACAAACAATGTAAATGAGGACCACCATTTACTTTGGACAAGCAGAGCTAATAGTGCTAGGTTTTACAGAAACCAGGCAGACTTGATAGACATTGCCACAGTGTGGAAGACAGGGTTTGCCACCTGTGATAGTACGGGCAGTCTGGCCCCACATATCTACACCGGGGTCAGGGTTGACTGTCACATCTAACATGATATGGACACCCTGTCTGGCCCCAAACATGTACATAGGGATCAGACTTGACTGTCACACCTAACACGATAGTACAGACTGTCTAGCCCCAAACATGTACAAGGGGATCAGTGTTTACTGTCACACATAATATGATACATTATTGTAGTAGACTGTCTGGCCCCAAACATGTACACGGGGATCAGTGTTTACTGTCACCCATAATATGATACATTATTGTAGTAGACTACAGCCTTTATTTACATCTCAATTTAAGGACATCCAGTCCTATATGATCATACTAACCAACACACTGACATTGTAAACCCAGTTTCAGTTGATATTGGCAATGTTCAGGATCATCAATTATTTGTTGTATAGTATCCAATCATCTATAAAACAAAAAACTTGCACATATCTATTGACTACAACTTTTGTTTTTAATAATATAAATATTAAGAATATTTTTTTAAAGTTTGGAACAGTTTGCATAAAATCCAATATTTCCAAACTGGCATTAATAAAACATTAAAAAGTGCACTTACTCGAGTCCAGGATGTCTTTGTGTACCAGCTGGGCATCAGCAGGGTCAAACGCCCCCGTTCTCATAACATAGTCTGTACTCAAGGTCATCGTGTTGACCCAGTGACCATGACCTTGTAAAGTCCGACACAACACTCCCTGGAATATCAACATGCATTCCTTCTCACCTTTGGTTAATTTGAGTGAAGAACAACTAAAACATAACCTCTTGCAAAGGTCATCTCGTATAAATAGGTTATCACAGGATTAGCAGTGAGCACATCCATGTTATATTCGATGGTGACCTTGGTATAGAGACAACAGATATGACATCAGATATATAAATGGTATTGTGACATACTGACAGAAATTCTAGATGACTAAATGAGAATTAACATCTTCCTTCTATTGAATTCTTTAATCTAAAGGATGACTGCAGCCTGCTACGTACACACATAATATGATGATTAGTTAATGACCACAATGAAGATACAGAAAGTCTTTTGGGACCAAACACTCCTGCCAGAAATGGCATGCTGTCCTTAACAAGAGGCCCATGGGCCTTAACGGTCACCTGATATATTTATACAGAGAGTTGATTTTGTTTTTAACATGAACAGAAATATTATTCAAAGTGACAAAAAACAATAAAACCACCTTATTCAATATCTAGCATACAGATTTCAGACTAAAAAGGATTTGAAACTAGCACCTCTGATTCTTAACAAGGAAAATGAAGAAATTTTAGCACACTGACTCCTTTGAGCCCCACCCTACAGCCCTTGGG